TACAAATGAATAAAATAAATAAATAAAATCTGCCCCTTTTTATTTATTTATTTTAAGAACACTATTCTGTGTTAATAGAAAGGTGACATATACATCAATGAAGCAGTTATTTTAAAAAGAAAAAAATTTGATTTTTTAAAATAAAATTTAAATTTTAAGTTTTTTGAATAAAAAATAAATATTAAAAGAGATTTTTTATAGATGGGATGTGATTTGATTTCTAATAAATTGAATTTAACTCCCAATAAAAGAATTATTTTTAATATGTGAAATAGTTTTATTTTAATAAAAAATAATAATGATATAATAAATATATTTTTTATAATTAATTTTTATTAAAAATATAAATATAAATATTAATTTAATTAATTAATTAATTAAAATTATCTATATATTAGTAATATAAAAAATATAACAATTTTTATAAATTTTTAATATAAATTAATTAATGTTTTAGATAAACAAACCCTATAATAATCATAAAAATGCAGAGCGAGTTTACTCTACCTATCTATGTTTTAATTATCGGGGAACAAAAATTCTTATTATAATAGTTGAAGCAACCTTGGAGATGATGAAAGATTCACATGTACAGCCTATGTGACAGCTTTGATTACCAGATTCCTGCCGCATTGTCCCCACATTAGCACATGTTCCTCTCCATCTCCAAAAGCTGAAAGCCCTGAAACCTTTTGTTGCTTCTGCACTTTCTCCGGCGAACTCACGATGGCCAAAACTACTTATCACCTTTTCGTCACTTTTATCGCCTTCTCTGTAACCCTTCTCTGCGCCACGTCTCAGGGGACCGCTGCTGACGATGGCGCCGTCATGCAACTTCTCAAGAAAGCTCTCGACCCACCTGGGTGGTCCGACTCTGATCCCTGCAAATGGGCCCATGTAGTCTGCTCCGACGATGGCCGAATCACGCGGATCCAACTTGGTCGCCAGAACCTGCAAGGTACACTCCCGACAGATCTCCAGAAACTGACGGAGCTTGAGCGGTTGGAGCTACAATGGAACAACGTTTCAGGTCCGGTCCCTAGCTTAAAAGAGTTAAGCTCATTACAGGTGGTTATGCTAAGTAACAATCAGTTTAGTTCTTTCCCTGCTGATTTCTTCTCGGGTTTATCTTCTCTTCAATCTTTGGAGATCGATAACAACCCTTTTGCTTCCTGGGAAATCCCTCAGAGTTTGAGAAATGCTTCTGCTTTGCAGAATTTCTCAGCTAACTCAGCTAATATTTCTGGGAAAATTCCTGATTTCCTCGGACCGGATGAGTTTCCTGCTCTTACCCTTTTGCATTTAGCTTTCAATAATCTAGAAGGGGTTTTACCCACCACTTTTTCCGGCTCACAGATCCAGTCTTTCTGGATCAACGGCCAGAAAGGTGATACTCAGCTCACTGGCAGCATTGATGTTATTCAGAACATGACAATGTTGAAAGAGGTCTGGTTACACTCCAATAGGTTCACTGGTCCTTTACCGGACTTCTTGGGTTTGAGTGATTTGCAGAGTCTGAGTTTAAGGGATAATAAGTTTACTGGCCCTGTTCCTGTTTCTTTGGTGAACCTTAGGTCATTACAGGTTGTGAATTTGACAAATAATTTGCTTCAAGGTCCAATGCCTGAGTTTGAGAAATCAGTTTCTGTAGATATGGTTAAGGACTCCAATAGTTTTTGCCTCCCAACTCCTGGTGATTGTGATTCTAAGGTGAATAATTTGCTTTCCATTGTGAAGCTGATGGATTATCCACAAAGGCTTGCAGAAAATTGGAAAGGGAATGATCCCTGTGCAGATTGGGCTGGGATTACATGTAGCAATGGGGGAATCATTGTTGTTAATTTTCAGAAGATGGGCCTTACAGGGACAATCTCTCCAGACTTTGCATCTCTTAAGTCACTGCAGCGACTGGTCCTTGCTGATAATAATCTCACTGGTCCCATTCCTGAGGAGCTTACCACTCTAGTTGACCTTAAAGTACTTGATGTATCAAACAATCAGCTGTATGGGAAAATTCCAGCTTTTAAGAGCAATGTGATTGTAAACACTAATGGTAATCCGGACATAGGAAAGGAGAAAAGTGATTCTACATCCAAGGGTTCCTCACCTGGAGGTCCCACCGGAAGTCCAGGATCGGCAACTAATGGTGGCAAAAAGTCTTCAGCTTTGGTTGGAATAGTACTTATTTCTGTGTTGGGGGGTTTGGGTTTGAGTGCCTTGATTGGTCTGTTGGGTTTCTGTCTCTACAGAAAGAAACAGAAGCCGTTTAGCAGAGTGCAAAGCCCAAATGCAATGGTGATTCACCCTCGCTATTCGGGATCTGGTAATGAGAGTGTGAAGATCACAGTTGCTGGCTCGAGTGTAAGTGTTGGTGCACCGAGTGATACTCATACTGTTCCTAGCAGTGAGGCTGGTGACATACAAATGGTAGAAGCAGGGAACATGGTGATCTCTATCCAAGTTCTAAGAAATGTGACGAACAATTTCAGTGAAAAAAATATTTTGGGACAAGGGGGCTTTGGAGTTGTATACAAAGGTGAATTGCATGACGGTACGCAGATTGCTGTGAAGAGAATGGAATCTGGGCTTATAAGTGACAAAGGGTTAGCAGAGTTTAAATCTGAGATTGCAGTGTTGACCAAGGTTCGACACAGGCATCTTGTTGCCCTTCTTGGGTATTGCTTGGATGGGAATGAGAAGCTTCTTGTGTATGAATATATGCCCCAAGGTACTCTTAGCAGGCATCTCTTTGACTGGGCAGAAGAAGGATTGAAACCCCTGGATTGGACAAAAAGATTGACCATTGCCTTGGATGTGGCAAGGGGTGTTGAGTATCTTCATGGTTTGGCCCATCAGAGCTTTATACATAGAGACTTGAAGCCTTCAAACATTCTACTAGGAGATGACATGAGGGCTAAGGTGGCAGATTTTGGTCTTGTGCGTCTTGCTCCCGAGGGTAAAGGCTCAATTGAAACTAGAATTGCTGGAACATTTGGCTACCTCGCGCCAGAATATGCAGGTACTTCTGGTCTTAAGGCATCTTTTTGTTTAGTCATTTTGCTATTTAAATTCATACTGTAAATCTAGCATGCAAGGAACCAGTACAAGCAGTCATTTTGCAGGATCTTTTCATCTATAGTCTAAGTAGTCTAGTTGATGCTGATTCTGCTATGCAATATGTAGTTAACCAAGATCAAGCAGCTGCTCTCTTTGACATTTTTTCTTCAAACAATCAATCTCTGACGTTGAATTCATATATTTGTCCGGCATTCTGCAGTCACAGGCCGAGTAACAACTAAAGTTGATGTATTCAGCTTTGGTGTGATACTGATGGAGCTAATCACCAGCAGGAAAGCACTAGACGAGAGCCAACCTGAAGAAAGCATGCACCTAGTGACATGGTTTAGAAGAATGTACATCAACAAGGTCCTGTTCCAGAAAGCCATTGACCCCGCTATTGACCTTAATGAGGAAACACTTGCAAGCATTAGCACAGTTGCTGAGTTGGCCGGTCATTGCTGTGCAAGGGAGCCTTATCAAAGACCTGACATGGGCCATGTCGTAAATGTGATTTCCTCTCTGTTGGAGCGCTGGAAACCTACCGACCAGAGCTCTGAAGACATATACGGCATTGATCTTGAAATGTCATTGCCACAGGCACTGAAGAAATGGCAAGCCTATGAAGGAAGAAGCAATATGGAGTCAGCTTCTTCTTCACAACTACCCAGCTTAGATAATACTCAGACAAGCATCCCAACACGTCCTTATGGGTTTGCCGAGTCCTTCACATCCGCAGACGGAAGATGAGAAATGCTTGTAAATTAACCACGTGTAGTATATTTTCTTATTAGCAAACTTGATGCCTTCCGTTTAAATGAATGGTCGTCCTTAATGGGTATTACCGGGCTTCATTTATTAACTTGCGATCACATGGGCCCGCGTTCTGCTTGATAAATCTCCATTTCTTCCTCTTGAAGAACATGATCTTTCTTGCTCTCAAGTAACTGTAGAAGAGTCAACTACAGGTAAAACGCATAGAACATGAATATGATCTCCATTTTCTTCAAACCACTTATTTACCAAGTTAATCTAACGCTGAATCCAAACAATAGTTAACAGATTTTTGGAGCATCATTTATCTATAATAACTGCTCTATAATCCTAAAACCAATTGTCTACTACTCCCATTCAAAACAAAAATATAGTAGTGAAGGCCATTGCCCCTGCAAAATCCAATTCCCATATGAATTGGTAAAATACCGGCCATCATGCTTGTTGCTCATTTGCTATCAGTGAAATCCGCATCAATAACATCTCCATCAGGTCCCTTGCTCCCCGAATCTGAAGACCCAGCATCAGGCCCAGAAGCTGGTCCAGCACCACCAGCTGCACCTGGTTGGTTGTAAAGGGACTGACCAAGCTGCATCACTTCCTGGTTAAGGGCAGCCATGGCATCCTTCATGGCTTGTGTTGAGCCCCCTGAGATAGCATCTTTGAGCTCTTGAAGTTTTCCCTCAACTTTCTCTTTCACTGGACCAGGAACCTTGTCCCCTAGCTCTTTTAGCTGCTTTTCTGTCTGGTACACAACAGAATCAGCCTGATTCTTTGTGTCAATGGCATCTCTTTTTTGCTTGTCCTCCTCAGCAAACCTTTCTGCTTCCTTCACCATTCTCTCAACCTACACAATGTCCAATCCATACATAGTTACCAGACCCTACTAGCAAAAAAAATTTGAAACAAAAATGTAATTGTTTCTAAAGCAGAAATTCCTAGCATTCATTACTCCTGATAATGCTACGGTGCAACAGTTTTCGCCATCATTTATCACTAACAATGCCAAAAGAATCCTTAAACCATGAACAACTAATTGAATACACACCTCATCACTTGGCAAGGTACTAGCCCCAGTAATTGTGATGTCCTGCTTCTTCCCAGTGCCTTTATCGACAGCAGTTACTGAAAGAATGCCGTTTGCATCGATGTCAAACTTGACTTCAATTTGGGGAACACCACGGGGAGCTGGAGGGATGCCATCCAACCGGAAACTGCCAAGAGATTTGTTGTCCCTAACAAACTCTCTCTCACCTTGGAGTACATTAATCTCAACACTTGTCTGTCCATCAGCAGCTGTTGAGAATACCTCAGATTTGGATGTGGGCAATGTAGTATTCCTGGGAATAATTTTGGTCATTACACCACCAAGAGTTTCCAGACCAAGCGAGAGTGGAGTCACGTCCAACAGCACAATGTCACTAACATCCCCAGATAAAACACCAGCCTGCAATTAAATGTAGGCACCAGAATACACAAAAGAATAACAATCAGCATTATATGACTGCTGAAGCTAAGCTCACAGGTATCTACCCAACATTGCACATTCAAATGTACATATCTTCAAAGAGCAAGACCAAACCTGAACAGCAGCTCCAAGAGCAACAACTTCATCTGGATTGACAGAGACATTGGGCTCCTTGCTAGTCATCTTCTTTACAAGCTCCTGAACTGCAGGGATACGTGTTGATCCACCAACCAGAATCACCTCATCTATATCTTTGAAAGAAAGTTTTGCATCCCTCAAAGAATTTTCCACTGGTGTTTTAAGCCTACAAGATACAAATCATGTCAGAATTGTCCATTCCAATATCAGAACAATAAAACTAAGCTCAAAAGAATCTATGGTTTAAATTGAAGAGTAGGAGTTACCTGTCAAGCAAGTCTGAACATAATTCCTCAAACTTGACTCTTGTAATGGTGGTTTCAATGTGTTTAGGACCTTCTGCAGTGGCAGTAATGAAAGGCAAACTGGAAAAACCAAACATTATTAGTAAGAAATGGAATAGACAAATACATGCGTCCAAGCAATGTATGATTGCACTTATGTGTGAGAGCACACACACACACATGCACAGAGAGAGAAAGAGAGGACATGCCTAATGTTTGTTTGAGTCAGAGAAGACAACTCTATTTTAGCTTTTTCAGCTGTCTCAGTTAATCTCTGAAGAGCTTGTTTATCTTTCAAGAGATCTATGCCTTCATCTCTCTTAAAATTTTGTGCAAGCCAATCAACAACTCTCTGCAAGAATAAAGGAAATCTCAGAAATTGGAAATTCTTTCATCACTGCAGCAATTAAACCAGAAGAATTAGAGAACTGAAAAGTCAACCTTATCAAAGTCATCACCACCCAAATGTGTATCACCAGAGGTAGAGAGCACTTCAAACACTCCATCACCAACCTCAAGCACTGTAACACATTAAGAAAAGGCACAATGACTTATGCACCCTCAATTACATAAGGTGCAACTAAATCAATCCACCCAACCCAAGAAAAAAAAAAAAAAAATCAAATTTAGCAGTAAGAACATATTTTTAATTCCCTCAATGTTTTCCAGCACAATAACATAAAACTAGACACTTTTTTTCCAAAAAAAAAAGAAAAATTGATAAATATGTTCTGAGACAGCAAAATACCTGAAACATCAAATGTACCACCACCAAGGTCAAAAACAAGGATGGTTTCGTTATTCTTCCTCTCAAAACCATATGCCAAAGAGGCAGCAGTAGGCTCATTGATGATACGAAGAACTTCCAACCCAGCAATACGGCCAGCATCCTTTGTTGCAGTCCTTTGGGAGTCATTGAAATACGCAGGGACAGTAACAACAGCCTTAGTTACTTTATCATTCAGAAACTTTGAAGCATCATCTACAAGCTTTCTCAAAACCTATATCGAAAAGAACTCAAACATCAGGGCCCTAAACAAGTAAATTTACAGAAAACAACATCAGAGACAAATCTTAAACCTCAATTTATGTTCATTAACATTCTGTATTAATGTAACTAATGCACAATAAACTATGCAAGTTAACCAAACAAAAGGAAAAAGAATCGAAAAACCCATCAAGAAACTTAGTCAACACCAAACGAACAAACTACATACCTGAGCCGAAATCTCCTCCGGTGCAAACTGCTTGCCAATAGCTGGGCAATCAAGCTTAACATTCCCGTTTTCATCCCTGATGACCTTATATGAAACCTGCTTGGATTCTTCGTCTACCTCCGACATCTTCCTCCCGATAAACCTCTTCACCGAGAAAAAGGTGTTCTCGGGGTTAACCACCGCCTGGCGTTTCGCAATCTGTCCAACCAATCTGTCCCCATTCTTAGTGTACGCCACCACAGAAGGGGTTGTCCTCTGCCCTTCGGCGTTGGTAACAATAGTAGGCTTCCCACCCTCCATTGCCGCCACGGCAGAATTGGTTGTCCCCAGATCGATTCCGACCACCTTCTCGTTCACCACCCTCAAGGGTCCCACCCGCCTACCCGCGTTGTTCTTCGACAGCCTAAAGAACGCAGGCGACACTTTCCCAATTCTATTGCCGAAGAAGACAGTCCTAGGTGAATTACAGTTGGATTTTCTTGTAGAAGGAAACCCAATTCCACCAAGGACATGGATTTGGGCGGTGGAGAAAGCCATTTCCTTTGCAAAAAATTATAAAAAAGAGAGCAGGTAATCGGAAATGAAAGATGTAGGAGGAGGAGTTATACACCTGCTCCGGGGAAAAAGAGTGGAGAGTGGAGGAAAACCCTAGTTCCAGAGAGCAGAGTGTTTCGTGGTGACAAAGGTTGAAGATAAGCGAAGAGTAAGGTTTACTTGGGACGTTGAGTGGCTGGTGGAGGGATTCTAGAATCCTCTCTAGAGAGAAATAAGGGGGGAAATGGTCACAGGATGGAAAGATCGAGGTGCTTGTAGATTTTGGGCTTTGTCCAGAACAATCCAAACTACAGTAAGTACCAACTAAATACCAGGCTTATTCAGGCCCATTTTGTTTTAAGAATCTTATTTATTTTTTCTGGTCGATATTTATTTTTATTTAGGTTAAAGTTTCATTTTGACCCCTCTATTTTAACAAAAGTCTTTTTTAATTTTTTTATTTGAGAAAACTCTTTTTTAGTTGTTAAAGTTTTTTATTTGAACCTTTTTTAGTCATTCTGTTATCATTTTGCATGTGTAATACTTTAAATAATGAAAATTTTAAAATAAATGGACTAAAAAAAAAAAAATCCTTTTTACTACTTTATTTTTAAAAAAAAAAACCTTTTTTTTAATCTTTTCACTTTAAAATTTTTATTACCTAAGATGCCACGTATACATAAAAATAACAAAGGGACTAAATAAAATAAATAATTAACTATAGAGACTAAAAAAGACTATCTTAAATAAAGGGACTAAAAAAAACCTTTTTGTTAAAATAAAAGACCGAAATGAGATTTTAACATTTTAATTATTATTATTATTATTTTGGCTCCTTACTGATTAAGTGAAACCTCAAAAACATGTTTAAACACAAACACGAGCTTAGTTTTAGTCAAACAAGATTTAAGATTGAATAATTCACAAGTAGCTTAAATTAAATCCGACCCTACAGTTATGTTGACTGACGGGAAGAACTGTGTCAGTTTTGACAAATTATCACGTGGGGGTAATGACATTTGTTTTTTTTTTTTTTTTGGTAAAAGGGGTAATGACATTTGTTGATCCAATCCAAGTAATGTTTAAAAGGAAAATATTAATTCGTTCAAAAATACAAAATGAAAAGGAAGTATTCAAACATGTAAATATATCATCAACTACATTTTTCTGATGCCTTCCAAGTACTTTCTAATGTCAAAATTACCAAATTGGCATATATATCTCACTCCAGCTAACTAATAGCTTCCAGATTGTCTAGTTGCCAGTATTGTAAATCTGGTCGTCTGTTAAATGATCTCTCCAAGCAAAGATAAGCATATATAGGACTTCCAGTGTTGCAACATCCCTGGAGTGGTGATAAGATTGCGTAGTGTGAGTCTGATTTTTCATTAAAACGAGATAAATGTGTTTCATTGTAATGTAAAATAACATGGAAACGTGAATCATACCTGTCGAAAACATGGAAACAATCCACTCCCTATTCGCACTTGATTGAGCGGTAAATATGACGTACAAAGAACAGAGCAGCACGAAAACCAACTGTCCCAAGCATGAGGAAGAAACCATAGCAAATGCAAGCCATGTAGCCAAAGAAGAAAGAAGTTTGCATGAAACCAGACATATCTGATCTTGCATGGTAATAATACAGGCAGTAGGCATATATGAACAAGCCAGTTGAGCCACCGCAGAGGAAGGACCTATCACATTGACATACCACAATCATAAAAGTCAGCACTAGTAAGCCATAACATTTTAAAAAGGAACTGCAACAATGATAACCAGATGCACTGAATTCCATTCAAATCCACTCATTTTCATATGTACTCCCATTTAATCCAAGTTTATTATCAGTAGAACAATGTCATGAGAAAGTAGTTTTTTCATTCTGCTACAGAGATCTTTTTGCAAACACCCTTGCAAAAACAAAGCGTTTGCAAAATAGGAATACCCAGTAGCTTCTGTGCATATAAGAAACCCATAAGCCTAAAATCAAACATACCTCCACCACCACTCATGGTCTTCAGCAGCTAGTTGAAAATAAGTCAAAGCTACTGTGATAAAAGCTGTAACAATCAAGAGAATGATAAACACAATAAACAGGATGCTGTATATGGTGTAGATCCTGTGACCCCACACACTAGCAAATATGTAGTAGAGTTCGATATAGATAGCACTAAAGGGCAAAAACCCAGCCATGGCCATCTGTGGGAGAGTTTTCCGATACCAAGGCAATGGTGGGATCTCTCTAGGATATTTTGTGGTGCGACAAGGAGCTTGAAACTCAGCCTTGCTATTCTTCCCTGCTATTCCACCCAGTACTAATAAAGGAGATGTTACCAAAGCCCATATAAGAAAAATCACCACAATTGTTCCAAATGGAAGGGCTGCAGTTGCATTGTAAACAATTGCAACGGTATTAAGAAAGCTGAATGTGAGAAAGAGTGGTCCACAGAACAGACTGCCAGTCAACAATAAGTTTCTCACCTGTCATTACAAAAAGAGGAAAAAATAAAAAACAAGTAGTGTGCCTGAATTTCAGGTGACAGGTAATAAGGACACATCCAGTTTGAATATGCCCAGGTCTTAATTTCTACAATCAGCATTTAACAGCTATGAAGCAGGTGATTCAGAGAAATCACTTCACTACCCTTGTAGCCAATAACTGGATAAGAATAATGGGAAATAAATGTCATCTGATTCAAAGACCAATAAGGCAAGAATCTCAGAGAATTCAATTCGATGGCAGTCAAGAAAGTTGTTAGGTAACCTGAGGTAAATAAAATGACAAGTTGGGCCACTAATGTTGAATAACTGCAGTCAATATAGTTAGCCAAGCAATAACCCAACAAGATACATCTTATTCCCATCTGCCACTAGAGAACAAAACATCAAAGTATACTTGCACCTCTAAAAATCTGTCAAAACTAAAGCAGAAATGCCATACCTAACATGGATTTACCAAAAAGAACAATAGCCATGAAGTGCTGATAAAAAAAAAACAATAGCCATGAAGTAGTTTATACACAGGAAATTAGAAAGACGGCTGCATGACACTTACCCAGTTTGTTCCTTCAAGCTGACAATAGAAAGAAGCAGCAGTATAGCCAGCAATACCAGATGTAAGAGCATATATGACAACAAGTGCGGTGAATAACGCTCCCCGATTGTAAGGATAGAAAACACCAACCAAAGCAAGAATGAAAATGAAAATTGTCCTGGAAAAACATGCAAATAGATACACAAAATTACAGATTGCTCAGCTAGACAAGAAAGATAGAAGAACATCTGGCTAAACAGCTTCTTGAGAAACAAATTTGAATGATTCTTACAGGGTAAACAACTGGGTGCCTGAACCAAGTGCTGCTGCAAACAGAGATTTGTACTTTGGGTACCTGAATACATCACCATGAATGTACTTCCATCCTGTCTCCTCCTGGTCATCTGCTGACTCCTCATCATGTGCATACCTGTTGAAGATACAAAAAGAAAAAAATACAGTATAGGAAAACCGTGAACCAAGTAATTAATTTCATAGATCCACTAGATCAGTAAGGCAGAAATGGACTTACTTAACAAAATCATTCTTTAAGACTCGCATGAGAATGGTGGCAAGGAAACCAGTCAAGAGAAGAACTGTCACGCATGAATTTACAATTGAGAACCAGTGTATTTCCAAGTGATGAGGCAGTGAAGAAGAGTGTGAGTACTTCTTCATTCTATCATCAAATGAAGTATCTGTTTCCTTCCATTTTACCGTGTACCTAAACTCCACATTGATTTCTTCATCCTCTGTTAGGTCTACAACAGCAGTTGGATCTGATCGTACACCAATTTCAATGACACGATCCTTGTTGTATGAAACTTCAAAGATAAGGTGCTTAAAGAGGTAGTATTTGTACTCGCTAGGGTCAGTTTTCCCTTCCTTATCAACTTTTCCTAGGAAACCCCATATGGGCAGGTCATCATAATACATTTGAAAGTAGTAATCCTTTGAAACTGCATCCCTGAACTTAGCAACTTCTTCCTTTGTCAACTTCTTTTTGCAAGCAATTTCAGAGTCCTTGTGACTCAAAAAGTCAAGTTTGTAGGGAGCACTGACTAATCTATCCCCATTCAACAGCTCACCCAAAGCTTCCTTTTTCTCTTTCACAGGACCTAAAGCAGACAATCACTATTGAGTGTTGATTCGTAGACTGGATAATAAGCATTTAGAAGAGAACAAACACAGGTAAGTACAAACCTGAGGAGCAGAATGGGAAATCAAAATAGCGGTATGTCTCACTGTAACAGAAAAAAAAAAGAAAAAAAAAAAAGGATGAGCTTAATCAGTCAACAAAAAAATAAAATTTTCAAAATTACCAGCACCAAACTAAAATAATCAAGTCATCAAAGTTACAAACAAAACGAACATTCTAATTTCAAAAAGAGAGAAGACCATAAAATCAATTAAAATCCTGGATGAAAATGATTACTGGTGACTCAATAGCTGTACAAGAAACATATATAAAACCCTTGCTCCAGCAGAGAGAAACCAAATCAATAAACTTCGTGCATTGCCCCCTTCAACAAGATTGAAAGAAAAGTACTTTAAAATAAAATTAGCGAACAATTATTAAACTCTGGAAGGATGATTTCGCCACCATGCAAATATATATGTATTTTTTCTTGAGGAGAAACATTGCAAAAAATCCAGTTGACTTTTCCGGCACCAAGCAAGAAAATTGAGTACATTTTAGTTCTGTCCCACCGACACAAATTGGCTCCATGGACAAACTCAGATCTAGTTCAATCCAACCCATAATTTTAGTTTCTCAGAATCAGAGGCTAGAATTTCATCCCTGATTAATTACATTGAAACAGAAACTAAAATTTTAATCGTTGAAATTCACAGACCCGTATACCCAATTAAACGCAGAATTCATAGAGCTGAACCATTTATTTCGTCATAAAATTGAAACATTCCCAAAATTGAGCAAGACGTCCATACTAGAAGAAAATGAGAAGGAGAAGAAAACGACCTGGGATTATGGAAGGGTCCTACTTTGTTAGCGTAGAGAGGAACTTCATCTCTGGCTTTGTAACGGTGATCGGAGGCGCTGGATCTCACCTGAGTTACGCCGCAGAGGGCCACAATAGCCACCGCAAGCACCCACGGTCTCATCTTCACCATGTACAGTCGCTTGCAACTGCCTTAGTCTCAAAGAATGAGAAGATGAGACCTTCGACTTCGTCCCTGATAGATAAACGTGTAGTCAGTTCTTAATGGGACGTTTGCACTTTGCTCCCCTTGTGATTTGGATCGTTTATATTTCGTTCCCCTATTTTTAAAATTTGTATGTGAGCCCCATGCAGTATGAACCAATATAATCTCTTTACAAAGAATATGTTTGGCTTTTTTATCAAAAA